AAAATATAGTATGATAATTTTAAAGTTGGTATTCAAATTGGAAACAAATGTTTTTTTTTTATAATATTTCTATTAATTGTTTGATTAATTTAAGTTGGCAAAAGTGTAAAATAAATTGGAAATTTGTTGTTTTCGGGGGATTATGTGTAAATGAGATAAAAATTTCGGATGTGTGGATTTACAAAAGAAAATAAGTCTTTTTGTTTTAATCAATCAAGTTGTATACAACCGAACGAATAGACATGGAATGAATGAGAAAAAAAAACAATAAAATAGTAAATAGTATAATAATTATAAAAAAATAATAATAATAATAGTAGTAGTAAAACATAGTTACAAACGTAAAGTGAACTTAAGTCAGTCTATTACAATAATCATTAGTGTCATGTGGAATGGATGTGAAAAAATAATTCCTTTCTAGGCGCAACAGATGGAGACAAACACACAAATTCGAATCTTTTTTGTTTTTTGTTTTTGAGATTACATAATAATATATATATTTGTTTTTTGTTTTAATAATGTTAAAATTCCGTACACATCTTTTGTTTTGTTCATTTATTATTTTTTTGTNNNNAGCAGCGCGTGTTTACGTCAACTAAAATTGAAAAAAACAATAGTTTTTTTTTTGGCACGCTAAAAAAGTTATTACACGTGATTGACACTTTACAAAGTTATCTTACAAATATTACAGGTTCTTTTTTTTTTATTATTTTTATTATATTTTGTTTAAGAAACGTTGACATTTCTGTCCAGTCTCGTACACACACACACATACCAATAAAATAAAACGAAAACAAAATACACGCGCGCGCGAAATTAATGACAATAACATTAAGTACAAAAAAAAACACAGATGGCACTGTAAAAATACCAATTATTATTCTCGTTAGTTTTTCTTTCCTTCTTTACAATAATAATATATATTCATATAAGCGGATTGGATTATTTACAATTATTTTTTTTTGTAAATAAATATATTTATATATTCTTTTTAGTTGCTCCTCATCTTCATCATCTCACGATTGTTTTTAATAATTTTGTTTTTTTTTATACAACGTTGTTTCTTTTTTGTTCATAAGTTATTATGCGTAAATTAATTGTTTATGTAGCTGTTCTTTTGTTTGTTTTGGTCTGCAGACTTGATATGGTTAATTTCCTCAACGAGATAATCCAAAAATCAAAGTTTACTGAAAATCGCAATTCCGGATAGTTTACCATGATTGTTAAGGATCTAATTGGGTTGCATAACCTATACTGCGTTTTAATCAACGTTGGTTGCATAACAGCGTTTGTTTGGATGCGATTGTAGTATAGTTTGATCGTTGGATTGGATCAGTTTGCACTTAGAGCTATTATAAAAAATTATAATTAAAAAAATAGTGGCGATTTGTTTTGCGAATTGAATAGACCATGGGACTTGTTTGTTCAAATGTACAAAATATCATGAATATATGCGAGTCTCGCTCGATTTGTAAATATTAATTGTAAAATGAGTTAGTTTGCTTTTGCGGGGGAGAAGCAGCGCGGAATGCGTTCCACAGCCATCGTCGACTTGTTAATTAATATGTGGGAGGAGGGTTGGGTTGAGATGTAGACAGATTTAGAGGTTGAATGTGTTTGTGTATGTGTGTGTGTCAGTCGTCTGAGAAGAGAAATTCGCTCTCGGAAAGTAGGACTTCGAGATCGGACTGGACGGTATGGACGTTAGAGTCGATGTCAATTGCTGGTTTTGTCGCATCCTTCTGCTGTGCGACCGGTCCCGTAGCTACGGAGACGCCGACTGTTATGTTGGTTGCAGCTGCATCGACGACGTTCGCGGCCTTCTGCTGCTGCTTCCGGGTGTTGTTCCGATCGCGCACCGTCCTCACCAGCACTCCCGTTCTTTGCGTAGTCTTTTTGGGTGCGACGACCGTCGCTTCCGGTTTCTTGCTCACAACAACGACACTTTTATCCGGTTTCCGTAGTTTCACACTGAACTTGAACGGAGGTTTGTAAACCACTTGTAAACGCACTTTTTCTCGCTCCGCGGAGATGTTGCCCACACTGTGCGATTTGCTTTTGTCCGTCGCGCGCGATTGTTTCACGTTGGACACCGCCCTCTTGTGTGGGGAACTTCGGACGCCTGTCACCAATCCGGCAGGCGTCGACTTGGACTTTGGCAGCGCTCCCCCGTGCTGCGACTTCATCAGCCAATTTTGCACCTTCCCAACTGGATCCGCTTCCGGACTCATCGAACTACTTCCGTGCACCACTTCCGCACCCAGAAGACCTTTCTTACCCTCTGCACCGTCTTGCTGCGCTCCGCTGTAATCTATAACCTCCTTCTTCTTTTTCTTCTTCCTGTTACCACTGACAACCGGTTGTTGTTGTTGTTGCTGCTGCTGCAGCTTCTTCACTTTGCTCGGAGGAATCTCGATGACTGCCGCAGTGTCTCCAAGTTTCTTTCGCGTTTCCTCCGCTCCGACAGCAGCAGAAACTCTTTTCTTCTTCTTTGACTTATTTGGACTGTTGTTCACGTTGTTGTTATTATTGTTTGTCACTTCTTTTCCTTTACGCTTCTTCCGCAATTTACCGTCGCGCACTTTCCTCTTCAGAGGCACCTTGGATCTCACCGCCGGATGAACGGTTACATTTCCGCCACCTCCTCCATCTCCTTCCGGTAATCGCACAGCCTCCGTCGTCTGACTGTGCATTATTGTCACCGTTTTCAGCTTTACACTAGGTCTTTTACCCAAAACCTTAGTGCTGAAGACCTACAAAACAAAACAAAAATCAATAACTAAATACAACGCAGAATTTTGACAGTCAATTAAGCTACAAATCTTGCATTATACTTAGTGGAAAGCCTATAGTATGAGCTTTAATCGAAGTAATTCTAGTAACTTAGGTATAGCCTACAGATGGCGTACGACATTTTTGAAGTATTTACTGAGAAAAACGTTCATTTTTTAAAGAGATTTATATAAATTTTTAGTTTTTTATGATTCCAATTGGAAGCTTAATATATCAGTAATTCATGTATAGCTTACAGATGGCGTAAGTATATACTAAGAAAAACGTTCATTTTTTAAAGAGATTTATATCAATTTTTAGTTTGAAATATCTATGATTTCAATTGGAAGCTTAATATATCATTAATTCATGTATAGCTTACAGATGGCGTTCACCAATTTTAGCATTTTACGAACTTACGTTTCAGATATCTTATTTGCTGTATGATTTTAATCTGATTTTGGAACAAACATTAGATAAAACTTTGAAACTATACGTTTTTTTTCTTTGTTATTCATTGAAACTTACCAGTAAAGATATGACAGTCACTATGATGAGCACGACCGCGTACCAATAGTCCATCAACCATTTCTTGAAACTGGCTATACTCTCCTCGGAGAGAAGCAGTTTTCTGAGCGTCGCCAGAGGACCTGACGGATCCACCTCTCTGCACATCTGGAAGACGTCGCAGTAACCGCTGTAATCGTTGCACGGCGTTCCCGGTTTCGAGAACATATCGGGAATGTCGTACGGCATATCGTTCCATTCGAACGACGACAGACACGGCTGATTGTCGCCAGGAAGTTTGCAACATAATTCGCACGCTTTCGTCTTCGGATCGTTCTTTCCCGGTATGCATTGGCACGATTCTAAACCGTACGCTAAACAGATGGAACCGGTGCATTCCTGTACAAAAAAACAAAGTTTGGATTATAGATTAATGAGTAAACGATTGAAGCGCCATCTCGGGGATGTTGGAGAATTATATAAAAAAAAAATGAACTTACGCCCATGAAGCATACGAATTCCTTGTTGCATATAGTTTTGTTCGGTTTGTTCACTGATGGTGGACATTGAGGGCCTCGACCGTTGCAGAAGCTGGCGTCACGACAACCGTTGTCATCGCGACACTTGTTGCCAAACTTCACTTGACATTCGGACGTGCAGCAAGGACCCTAAGCAAGAATCAAATCAAATTATATTATGTTTGATAATTGATGAAGAAATTTGTTAAAATACCTGAGAAGGACTGCAAACGCTCCTCGGCGTCAATCTGCACGGAGGTTCATCCGCCGGCGGATACCTTCTTTGAGGGAAGCAGCACTGATCACGGCAATCCTCCTCCCAACCGCAATCGCACTCTTCGCCATCCTCCACAACGCCGTTACCACAAAGCGAAGCTTGCGGTTCTTTACATTAACAAAAAACAACAACAACAAATCCAATTTAGTCTTTTTTTTTGTGTTCTCAATCTTTCTTCTATATTTACCTGTGAAGCAACCTTTGACGGAACGCGCTTTGAAGTTGAGCACAGGATTGATGCTCTTCAAGCTGCAAGGAGAAAACTGATTGTTGTTCCTTTTATCGCCGGATGTGGCTCTGGCGAACATTATGAAGTTGCCGTCGTCTCCGCCAGGGGTGCACATCTCTGGGTCGTGCTGTTAAATTAAAAATTTTCACTGATTTTTTTTTCGTTGCTGTTGCAATTATAAAAACGTACCGGTGATCCGAAATTATGACCGATTTCGTGGGCGAGCGTCACGTGCGAAACGGCTGGAGGCACGTGCTTACCGTAGTTCAGCAACGTAACAATTCCAGTATTTAACGACTTCATGCTTCCTCGGTAATGCTGCAAATTAAAATGAGAAACAATGAATATGCAACACTTTTAGCAACAAAGTTAAAAGTATGATAGAAAATCCAAACATAGTTATTGAAAAAATTGAATAATATGTGAAACGTTATATAATTTACTCTAAAGCAGGCGCATCCACTCGAAAATGCGAACGGTACGCTATAATTTTGCAAAGTTTCTGAATCGTAGGCGGCGGCGTCTGTAGCGTCGGTAGTTAATGGACCTGCTTCGGGCGTTACGTAACGTAAAGTAGCGTACGTTCGGACCGGTCTTTAACATGATTAAACCGGAGGACCTGGCAGCAAACTGGAAGTTCGCAAACCGAAAACGATTTGCAACAGCATCGAGTAAGCCGAGAGAGCCGTGTTTTGCGGGCGGCGCTCTGAATCCAATACGTTCGTCCGATTAATTTAACAATTAGTCGCACAAACATGAACACAGACGCAAACGCAAATTGGTTTTTGTTTTATCTTCGTGTAATTGCTTTGATTTCGAGCTCTCGTTTCCCAACCGAAAACCGACCGAATTACATAATTACACACGCACAGAATGTTTGATGTCCAATTAACCGATTCACATTTATTAATTGTTACGCATCGATTTTGTCACACACCCAAATCAATTACGTAATTAACTTGCAAAATGTATTTATGCAATATCTTTTCAAAAACAACAAAGTTAACTTGGTTGCATAATTTAACACGTTAAGGACGGCGCTTTTCGGGTTGTCTGCCCCCAGAAATTTTTTCGTGGACGCCTATGGACTGAGTGAAAAGTCAAATATCTTACGTCAATTATAACCTTTAAACGTTTAAATTTTTCTTATATATTTTTTAATGATATTGAAGCAATTTATAACAATTGTGGGAAAAATATTGAAATTTTCATTCAATTCTATACTTGCTAGGAAAAAGTGCTATAGGTTTTATAATAAGCAATAATAATAATTGATTATTGCAATTTCTATTCAAGTCGAGTATATCATCATTCAAGCTTTGAGCTTGCAATGTTTTATATATCTGCTTATGATAATCATATTGTATTTTTAATGCCGTTGCGTTTCGATTACTTAGGAGCTGAAAATGAAAATTTCAAATATGTTTCGCAAGTTAATTTGTAAAGTATGCCTAAAATATGTCACAATATCACGTATTGTTCTAAATTGCTTCAAGAATTATTAAAATATGTATAAGAAATGTATTGGCGTTTGAAGTTTGTAATTGACTTAAGATATTTGAGGTTATACTCAGTCAAAATCAGTGGCGTACATAGCAACAAAACTATTATTTATAATTAATGACCCACCGGTGCCGTCATCAATGTGTTAAATATCATAATTTGACGTTAAATTCACAAATTTTACGAACTTACCCCGTTCTTCTCGCAAACGCCACCGGCATTCTTCAGATCTCCGGTCCACGCCAACCCTAACGTTCCCATCTCGAAATCCCTGTAAGTAAACATGTAGGCCAAGCAGAAAGCGTCGTAATCCTCCTCTGAAACAAACGAAGAAAACAAAACAATAAATAAAACAAAAGTATCGAATAGCGAATGAATGTTTAAATTGAAAAAAAAAACAATTGTAATAAATTTTTTGTTCGAGGACAAAAGGGTTTCCGGTGTAAAGTGATTGCGCCATAAACCTTAATAGCGTCAATCCATTTCTGTAGTGAAGTGTGCAAGTGATGCAATTCACAAATTTAGCATATGTTTGGTTGCATAATTAAATAGAGTTCCACAAGGTATGGTTCTTTGTCCGAAACGCAATTTCTATTTCATTTAAATGCGATCCACGATTGAAAACTGTTGCAATTCCAACATTTTTCTTGTTGGTTTTGATGAATTAGACAAAAATTAAAAAAAAAAAACAATCAGTCCAGATTTTGTTTTCTTTATTCGTTTCAAGTTGACTTCAGCACAATTTAGTGCTAATAAAACGCACCCGAAAATGAACAGCGCCGAAGAAACAATGGAACTACAAAATATATAAAAAAAAAGAATTAAGAGTGGAAGAGAGAAGAAGGCGCGAGGTACACATAAAAGGCAAGGAATTAAAAGATCCTAAATTACGGACGAGTGCTTTCGAGAGTGCCAAGTGCTGTTCAGGGGAAAATATATTGCCACTTCATAGTCATCAAATGATTTTTGCAGCTGAAGAACGAAAAAGAAGGGTGCGTTGCCGAATGGGGGGAGGAAACGTCATTCGTTTTGTTTTCTGCTTTTGTTTTAGTTTTTTTTTTCCACCCTTCTTGTAAGCTGCAATAATTCATTTGTTTCTTTTTCGTTATTCCTTTATTATATATCGTTTTGCGCACTTTCATTTTCGCTGCACAAAAAAATATAAGTTTATTTCTTCTTCTAACGTTCACTCTCTTCCACTCTGCTTACGTTTATTTCATTTTTGTATCGTTGTACAAAAAAAGTGTTCATCGGAGGAAGTTTCTCGAGGCGTTTCGTCCAAACTTTTGCCGCACTTTCGTAAAGCAATTAATATTATTATAAAGTTCGCTTTAGTTCACCACCTTCGGATGGGCGAGACAGTTTAGTTCGCACGAAGAAAAACAAAGAAAAAAATGAATATTGAGAAATGTTTCGGAGTTTTAAATGAAGCAGACGGTGATTAAAGTATATATACATTTACAGATCAACTTGAGAATGTACAGTTTAGTTAGGTTATGGTATTAGCATACATAAGTTAGGTTATGGTATTAGCATACATTAGTTAGGTTATGGTATCAGCATTCATTAGTTAGGTTATGGTATTAGCATACATAAGTTAGGTTATGGTATTAGCATACATTAGTTAGGTTATGGTATTAGCATTCATTAGTTAGGTTAGGTATTAGCATACATTAGTTAGGTTATGGTATCAGCATTCATTAGTTAGGTTATGGTATTAGCATATCATTAGTTAGGTTATGGTATTAGCATACATTAGTTAGGTTATGGTATTAGCATTCATTAGTTAGGTTATGGTATTAGCATACATTAGTTAGGTTATGGT